TTTTCCAAATTTCCGCTTTGCTTTTATTTTCCATGTAATGTGAGGAAGGGATTCAGATATACTTCTTTTTTTTCCCTGGCAATGGAATTCATTTCAGCTGACCTAAAATCAATGATTGTCTGTTGTATTGTTTTTACCACTGATTTCTGGTGCCACATTGGTACTAAAGTCTTTAGCCATAAAAATACATATGGATGTGGTTTTATAATGTTGAAACTCTTGAACTTTATTTTACTCTTGACTAAACTGAGAATTCTATATTAAATTCTTTGTCCTTTTCATGAGTTTTGGTAATATTTTTCTTTGAAGTAAAAAGTTTGACAAAGTGTAGAGAATAAGTACCTGTGGAAAACTTGTCCCTAAATGGAACATTTATGTCACCCCTCCCCTTCGAGGCTCAGGCAACATTGTGGAAGAAGGGGCAAAAATCATGTAAGAGAAGTTGGGGAGGAGTGCTAGGAAATTGAGTCTTCTGAATGTGACATGGCTGTTGCCATGAACTCACTACAGCTCTGGTTACCTGCATAAGATCTCCACAAGGCTGAGCAGGTCAACATTTCACCATGGAAATGGGAAGGGCTCACAAGGTCCTTCTGAGGGATTGTTGATAGTTAATGGTGGTTGGGGGAAGGGATACCACTTTCTTTAGTAGTATAACCACTGATAAGTTGCCCATGCTCCAGTAAATAACCTCCCACCCATGTTCATGCAGGCAACCCAAATTAAACTGAGTGGAAGAGGTTTTCTCTATTGCCGCTTAATATGTGAATGGGCGCAGTAGACAGGAAAGTAATTTAATGATAAATACATCAATAGCAGTGTACTCAGTATTGAGCTATAATTAATCCTATTTTGTTAGCCCAAATTGCCTTTTTTACTAGATGGGTAGAATTGACTCCATTAAGTCAGCTGAATAAAGTGCACATTCATTAACAAACCCAACATGGATTGCTCACCCATCCTGCTTCCCTGCCTGTGAGGATCATGAGAGCTGCTGGATTGGGCTGAGAAAAGGTGGAACTTTTGGAGTGTTCCAGAATTTGTGACTATCCAGAGTTCCCAGGAGGAGGAAACGTTGGGTAATTTGTGCATTTGTTCTGTGAAAGAAGACCAGGGTTCAAATGTGGGGACTGAATTCTAAGAATGAGGTGGGTGTCTCTCATGAGGACACGGGCAAGAGCAAAGCACAGGGTCTGAGATGATGATGGAAGGGCCTAATGTTCCTCCTCTTCACCCTTGGTGATTTCCTTTGATGCTTGGGAAGATGGTCCGTCTTAAACACCTGAGTTCAGAATGGACAGTAGCCACGTGCTTTATTTATTCCTTCACATTATTGTATTTTGTCTTACTCATCAGAATTGAATGCTGTGTAGACAAAACTCACATTCTTATAGAGAGAGTGTTGGTAAAGCTTTCTTTATGTTTTGTATTGTCCTATTTTCTTTTAGGTTTTGTGAATGATTCCATCAGTAAATCCATTGTGGCTTTGCGTTTAACTCTGGTGGTGAAGGTGAGCACCTGTGTGCCTGGGGACAGCCATGCAAATGACTTCGAGTGCTCAGGGAAAGGATTGTGTACCACGAGGCCATCAGAGGTAAGAGGACACCTGGTAGCTTGTGAATATACATGTATGTGACTAAACATGTATGTATTTGTATGTGTGTATGTAGCATAAAGATGCATGATGCCATATGATTTTTAAAGCCACTGGCATAAGTTTTATTCACAGATAGATCTTCTTGCTTTGGGGTGAAACAGAGATTATACCTGGTGGTGGACTCAAGAGAGATGAAGGAAGGCAGAGGTCAGCACCACCACGTGCTTCTCAGATTTTAGAGCTGGTGGCTGTTGAAGTGGGAACTCCTTCCTCAGGCTTCATATTTGCCTAGTGAGGATCACAGAGTTGCAGAAGTAGGAGAAAAAAGAGGTGTGGAGAGGAGGCAGCGGCAAATGGGCTGGCTCGGTAGATCTTACCTTCATGGAGCCAGCATGGTAAACACCGTGGAGGACCTGACCCCTTTCCCATTTTCTTCAGTGGCCACAGTTGTAGGGACCATGCCGTCATAGGGTCACATGGGCTTGGGTTAGAGGCCTGCTTGTCTTCTTCCTCCTGCTTTCTGGTTACTGACAGGAGTCTAGCTGTCAATCCAGGGAAGAACCCTGGGGAGCATGTTCTACCAGTCTAGGGATCACTTCAAGCCTTTTGGGCAGATGGGCTCCAGGCTCTAGCTGAAGATCCTAACAGGAGTGATAGTGTCTCTTTCCAGGGTGCCTGTTCCTTTAGGGAGCAGCCATTCCTCTCACGTCCCTGTTTCTGTCTCTAGCACCTTTTGTTTACTTTCCTCTATTATACACATACTTCTGCTGGGGCAATTGTTAAACAAAAATAGGTCCTCAACATCAAAATCAAAAGTGTGATTTGCTTTAGATTGATTTGTAAGGGAGGAATTGGTAAATTTTCTTGGATAATGTTGGATGTTGGCGTGTTTGGTAATGGTGTGAACTTTGGCAAGCGAAGGCAGTGGAGCTCACTGATATAACCAATGTTGGAAACGCTCTCATGTGATTTTACTGTTTTAGGTATAATGTTGCTGTTGTTTATATCTGCCATTTTCCTGGAAGATTCTCTGGAGGAGGCAGAAACCAGAGAATAGTGGAGGTCAGGAACCAGAGAATAGTGGGAATGGTAATTTCTGGTACGTCTTTAGAAATGGATGTGAGGGTAGCCGAACCAAAGCTATACCCCTATTATATGGGGTAACATAGCTTTAGTAGGAGGGAGGACAGAGATTGTGGAGCAGCAGGGGGTGAGGTGTGATGGCACAGTTGTGACAAAGCCACCCTGGCCGTTGTCTCCTCCAGTCTTCCATCTCTGCCCCTTTGGACTAGTCTGCTACCTTTCCTAAGAGGGATCTCTTGGATTTTATGGAGAAGACGTGATCCTCCATAGCAGTCAGTGCTGGGGTAATATAGCTTTAGCAAAGATCAGGAAGCCACGCAGAACCTACTTGGTAAAGTGGTCCCAGAAGAGAGGGGTGAGGCATGGTGCTTGTCTGACCTTCCAAATGGACCTGTGGCTGTAGGGAAGAAGTACACAGATCCTTTCCAAACATCCTTACTGTTCCCAATGAACTGTTTTGAGGCCTGATTAGTTCTGAAAAAGGAAATATCACTAAAAGAAGAAAGTCTCAAATGAGTACAGCTACTCTGGAAATTTTAAATATTTATTTTACCTTATTTTAAAGATTAGCCTATAAAGTAACAAGTTTCTCTTGGACATTTTCATATATATATAATTTCGATTGGTCTGTCTACCTACCTGCTCCCCTCTTCAGCTCCCTGCTGGCACCCTCCCACCTTCAATATTCCCCTTCTCACATTCACATAACGTGTTCTATCATCCTCCTCGTTCTTTTCCTTCAAAGTCTCTTTCCTCCTCTTACGACTCCCTTTCAGGTTTCCTGACCACACTTGTCCTCACACAAACACACATACATAAAATGAGAAACTAGGATCAGCATGTGAGCCAAATCATGCATTTTTTTTGTCTTTCTGAACCCATTACCCCATTTACTATAATTCCCAGTTCCATCCATTTCTCTGCAATTTCATTTTTCTTTATGGTTGAATAAGTTTCTGTTGTATAGATGAACCACATGTTTGTTATCCACTCATCTGTTGATTAGACATCTGGATTGATTACATTTCCTGGCTGTTGTGAATAGAGCAATGCTAAACTTATTTGTGCAAGCATCTATGTGTTAGGGTGTAGAGTCCTTTGTACATCTGTCCTGCAGTGGTGTAGCTAGGTCATTGACTGATGAAGTGGTAGGCTGAGTTCTGAGCTCCTTGTTCAATGGCTGACCATTTGGGGAAATATTTAACCTAGAACACAATCATCATGGTATTGCAATGACTATGTGTTGTGCGTAAGCAGAGTCTCTGGGACTTCTCTGAGGAAGCTCCAGCCAGGGGGCTCTGTCTGGATTCAGACTCATTGAAAGGCTAATTAGGCATTTAGCTGGACAGGTAATTTGGAAAACTTTATCAAACATTAAAAAGGAAAGGCTAAAAGCCCCGATGAAGAGTCCACTCTGGGGACATACACTTCTCTGGAGAGCTTCCAGCACCTTGTGGCCAACTCTTCTCTCAGCTCTGGTCCTCCAGCACCAGCCAATTAGAGAGTCTCTGCTGCTCTTGGCTTTGCATATGCCTTGAAGAAATATAAGAATGTTGTGGCCACTCACCTATTCTGGGCCAGTGTCTGTGTGTGTGTGTGTGTGTGTGTGTGTGTGTGTGTGTGTGTGTGTACAAGTACATGTACATGTTCCTGTGTGTTTGTGGGATGCATAGTCATGTGTGTATGTGTGTAGGCCAGAGGTGTTAACCCTAGGTGTCTTCCTCAGTTGCTCTACACTTTGTGGGTTTTTTTTGTTGTTGTTGTTTTTGGTCTTTTTGAGACAGGGTCACTCTGTAGCCCCAGCTGACCTGGAACTCATTTTGTAGACCAGCTTGGCCTTGATGTCACAGTGATCTGCCTGCCTCTGCCTCCTGAGTGCTGGGACTAAAGGTGTGTGCCACCACACCCCGTGTTACACTTTGTTTTCTGAGACAGGGTCTCTCCCTGGTTCAACCAGGCTGCTGATCAGTGAACCCCAGGGATCTGCTTGTCTTTCCCTAGTTCTGAGATCACAAGTGTGAGCCACCGTGACTGACTTTTTTTTTTTTAAACATGGGTTCTGGGGACTGACCTGAGATCCTCACAAGCACCTTACAGACTGAACTGTCTTCTCAGCCCCTGAACTATTACTGCTATCTCTTAAATATTCTAAGCATGTGCTCACTGTGTCTGTTCAAGACCTTCCCATGGTGTGCTGTTATCTGGGAAACAAATGTCTCTCGTAGCTTGAGTTAGCTATGGAAGGAGTGGGGATGGAAAGACGGAGTCAACTGAGTCCTGTGGCTTTTTGTGGATGTTGTCAGGACAGTTTCAGGACAGGACTAGTTGCAGCAACAGAAGGCCACTGTCATGGTGTCTTTTTATTGTTCCCTCAAGTGAGAAGTCATACAGTCTAACCCTTCCCCTCCACGTGAGAGTCCACTCCACAGCACAGAGAAAACTGTATTTGATGATTTAATGTTATTGTTTCTAATCATTTTATTAGATCATCTATCAAAATAAAAGTAATTCTGTTATTTCCACACCACTCTCATTGGGTAATGGAACTCATTTCTTGTCTGTCAGATGTACTTTGGTAAGGGGATATTTCTCAATTCCAAGTTGATAGACGGCTGCGAGGGGGCTGAAACTACCCTTCTTAGATGCTGCATCTCTCCTAGAGGGACCTTTTAAGTGTTTCTAGTACAGCAGTCCTTTATTTTTTGAAAGCTCCTTTGTTGCAAGGGATGATGCTGATCTTTGTTTTTTCTTATGCAAATAACTTGACTCTTGGCCATATTTTTTCTCTTTGAACATTGTTGCCAAGGTTGTCAGGCTAACAGCTCCGACCTGTATGATGACTGACTCCTTGATTGTGTGTGTGTGTGTGTGTGTGTGTGTGTGTGTGTGTGTGTGTGTGTGTGCTGAGTGGAATAAAGGGTGACATGTGTCTGATGAACCAGTTAACAGGTGACATTACAGAAGAAAAGAGATTCCCCCTTTATTCTAAGAGAGTGGAGGCAAAATACTTATTTTCTAGATTAAGTAGCTTAATAACAGGGCTCATTAAAAACTTTTGAGTCAGGGCTGGGAAGATGACTTTCCATGCAAATATTGAGGACTCGAGTTCAGATCCATAGCACCCACATAGAAAGCTAGGTGTGTTAGTATGTGCCTGGAGTCCCAGTGATGTTGAGGCAGACTCAGGAGGATTCTTGGGGTTTTCTGGCTAGTGAGCTCCAGGTTCCCTGGGAGACCTTGACTCTAAAGAAAATGTGGAGAGTGATTGAGAAAGATGCCTGGCATGATTATAGCCTCCGTATGCACATGCACCCAGACGCATGCACATGTCCCTGCACGCACATAAGCACACATGTGTGCGCATGCACGTACATACCCAAAAAACAAAAAAGTGAAGAAAAATACCTTTTGAGCCAGAGGGTAGATGCTTTGGACGTAAGGCCAAAGGAAGGTGCCTGTGAAACATTTATTTGCTAATGGAAGAAGGTGAGTTCTCAGGTTTCACGTGTATAGACTGCCTTTTGGACCTCTGAGAATAAGTGCTTTTATGAATAATAAAAATATAAGTATTAGAAACACATTAACAAGAGTGATCATAAAGATGTGGCCCAGCTGTCACTTTTTTTATGGGCAGGGAGAAGCTTGCCTAAAATTTCATTGACTTGTGTTTAAATTATAACTCTTGGTGCTAATGTAATTAAAAAGCCATCTCTGCCTTTTATGTCCTCGAACAGAAGGATGATCGTATCATTCCCTGCACAAAAATATGGCAACATGTTTGAGCCATTTATTATAAATTATTTAAAGATGATTCTAAAATTACATCCCAAAGGACAGACATCTAGTAGTGTTTCTATCTGACATCCAGGTTTTGTGGAAGGTTGAAATGTATCTTCTGGGATTAACAATCGCAG